ATTACATGAGCAAGGTAATGAGTACATTTCTTATCAAGCATTGTTGCCTCCTCCTTTGTTTCCCCTTCCCATCCCTTCCTATCTCCCCCTACTCCCTGAGTCAAAGTTGTAAAGTTCGTTTTTCTACATAATGTCTTGTACATCTCATTGTTGCAATGGCTCCACCTGTATCCCTATTTAAACAATTTGCTTTTTTAAATTAGTTTCAAAGACTCTTTATCCTTATTTATGATATGTGTCAAAACACAAGAAAAAGTCAATCTTAGATAAGCAAAACTATAAATTCTCTAACATTCCCAGGGGGTACAAAGAATTTAATTGATGTTTAAAAATACTTTCTAACTACCTGAGGCTATCTTGAAATACCACGCTAGTCATGAGAATCAAAGACAATCTGTTTTTCTGTTGAATCTCATGAAATTGCTTTTAGATATCATATAACAGTACAAAGATAAGGTTTACTTTTACATTTTTATTAGTATAAATTAGTTGTACAAGAGGGTTTTATTGTGATATTTGCAAACATGCATACAATTATTCTTTCCCTAGTTTTTCTCTCACCTCTCCCATTCTTAAAGCAAGTTCAACAGGTTTCATTGTTATGTGTTTATACGTGACCATAAAGTACTTTGACGATATTTGCCCTCATTCACCTTCTTCTTCCTGTTGATGCTTACCCCTCAATAGAACCTGTTTTATAAATGTGTTAGAAACAATCTCATGAAAGAAAAAAATACCTTTGAATACATATCTCAGGGTTCATTTCCCTAACATCACCTTATCTGACCTTTCTGCTTGACTCAGACATATACTAGATATTGCAAATAAGGGAAACCATGGGACCTATGTTTCTTTGGGCCTGGCTTACTTCACTTAATATAATTTTTTCCAAGCCTTTCCATTTCCTAACAAATGGGGCAATGTCATTCTTTCTAACACATTTATAAGATTATTTCTTTGTTGCTTTGTATGTCCCCCCCCACAGTATAACCCCTGCTTTCACTGTATTTGATGTTGGTATAATTTGTGGAGGGAAAGGGGAAAAACAAATCATTTAAATAGGGATACAGGTGAATCCATTGCAACAATGAGATATACAAGTCGTTATGTCAAAAATGAACTTTACAACTTTGGTGGGGGGTGCGGGGATAGCATCTGGAACTACTGCTATCAAATACTTATTTTTTAGTAAATAAAGGCTCTTTATTTTTAACCACATGAGCTTCTAACTTCAACTGGAAAGGCAAATACTAACGTAGATGGCATTTCAGAGTTCCTGTGCTTTTGTTATACACATCCAACTAAAAGTGTTTTATCTTTCCTAGCCCTGTGTAGTCAAGTGAGATGTTGTCTGTGGATGATAAAATTGCAAAAAGAAAGAAGGAAAGTTGGAGCACATTCTGCCCTTTAAATGATGCTGTGCTAACAAGCGACAAATTGGTGTCTCTATTAGCTTTCACAGCCACCAGTCATGCTAATAACATCTATTTCAAAATTCAATAAATGGTTTCAAGGTTATTTGTTTCTATTTTTGGTGCTGGTGCTGGGGTTTGAACTCAGGGCCTGGGTGCTGTCTCTGAGTTTTCAAGCTCCAGGCTAGCACTCTAGCACTTGAGCAAGAGTTCCACATCAGGATTTTTGGTGGCAAACTGGAGATAAGAGTCTTATGGGTTTTCCTGCGTAGGCTGGCTTTGAACTTTAATCCTCAGATCTCAGCCTCCTGAGTATGGGAATTATAGGAGTGAGCCACTGACATCCAGCTTGAAGATATCTTTAATTCTGCATAGAGCCCAAGTATTTTCAAAAGCAAAATATTTTTTTTGTGTCAGACTACTTACAGGTGTCAAAGTCTAAAAGGTTGCAAGTTTATCCATCTATAGAATATTGGATTTGAAGTTGGAACTTCCAATGTAGAAAACTATGAAGATATAATTGTTTTTTATCATCATTCTCTGTAACTATCCAGAGTAAACATTTTCTTTGTCTTCAGTGGCAAGACCTTGGTTGGAGTATAATGCTTTACTTTGTTTCGAGGAAGAAACAAAGAGCCTTCATGCCCTCCTAATATAAAACAACAGGAAGACAGAGACGGCAGGTAATATTGTTGAAAATGAATTATACAACTTGTGGGGAGAGGGTACGGAGGGAAATCTGGGAGAAAGTTGGGGAGGGAAGGGGAGACACTGTCCAAAAAGAAATGTACTCATTACCTGACTTATGTTATTGTAACCCCTCTGTATATCACCTTTACAACTGAAAAAAAGAATTATTTAAAAAATTAGTCTAACCAAGAAGGAATATTAAATTCCCATTCTGTACACTTCGTAGCCAAAAAGTGGTCCCCAGACATTAAGTATGCCCCATCCCTGCCTTTGGTAGGAAACTAGAGATTCATGTTCTAGAAATTTTTCAATAATCAGTGGATTCATGATTTTGGAACACTAGATATAGCTGAAAGAAATGTGCCATTTCAAGAACAGGGATCTTAAGAGATAAAACCCATCGAGTTAATTTGACTAAGGCATGCAAACCACTTGATTTAGTCTAATAGTCAAGAGCCAGGAAAATAATTAATTCAGCTCCACTTTCTTCTCTCCCTCAGATCTTCTGCCAAATGAAACCCAACAATCTGATGATCCATACAGGTCAACAAGATGAAAGAAGGTGAAAACTGATTCTTGAGGGACTGACCTAAAAATATCCAGCACCATATGTTTATACAACTTTTTAGAGAATCTACTTTCTCAAATTCTGATTCTTGTTGCTAATCTAAAAGCTTTGCAATTTCAGTGAAAAAAATCCCTACAAGGTTTGTGTAGAGATGTTTGAATATTGTTTATGATAAATTTTACCACTATGCATACCTCTCTGAAAAGTATGTATATGTAGGACATATATATGTCTATTTTTATTTTTGGTGACTAAGATTTCTAGTATTGGATTGAATCTGAGTGATAAAAGTTTATTTTTTCCTTATTTTGATTTTAATGGGAAAGGGTTCACTATGATATAAATATGATTTTAGTTGTAAGATGTGTACATGACAGGAATCAAGTAAATGAAGTTCCACTATGTTCCAATTTCTTGAAAGATTTTTTTTTATCCATGGGTATTGAATTTTTATAAAATCCTGTTTCATAATCATTTTATCTTATCATATACCAAACTGACCAAGTTTCAAATGTCAACAACCTCACGTACCTGATATTCAATTACTTGTAATATATAATCTTTGTCATATGTTAGACTCAATATTTGTTAATACCTTCACTGAGGATTTTCTGTGTAAATTAATGAAGGATACTGGTGTGTTGTTTTCATTCTTGATTATTATTACAATATTTTGTTTTGATATCAGGGTAATACTGAGTATCCAATTTATAATAGGGTTAACATGTTCTTTCCTCTTTAATTTTTCTGGAAGACTGTAAAATAAATTTCACCTTCTTTAAATGTTTGCTAAAATTTTTTGCAGAAATAATCTACATCTAGGAATTTCTTTTCCAAGGTAACTTTTAGTAAAACAAACTGACTGATTATTGGACAATTCAAATTATATATTTCATCTTGTGTGAATTGTATAATATGTGGTTTTTGATAAGTAAGTTGATCCAATAATTATAATTTGTCATCATTATGAAAATAACATTCTTTGCAGTTTTTCTTTATTATATATTTATTGACATTCAAGTGGGCATTGTATTCTGTTTTCACTGCTATTTTATGGCAATGAAATTAGTTACATCTTTTGATTTTTGGCAGTCCTGCAAGAGATTGATCAATTATCTGAAGAATTTTTTTGGTTTCTTATTAATTTTATCTGTTTTTAATGTCATTTGTTTTCTCTTTAAATTTTATAGTATTATTTTTTCTTCTTTCTGCTTCTTGTGAGATGATTTTACCTTAGTTTACTCAATAGGGAATAAAAATATATGTATGTATAATATATATGCATATACATATACAGTAATATTCATACACAGGTATATATATATATATATATATATATATATATGGCTAAAGTCTACATGAAAAAGAAATCTAGAGAGCAGAATCTTGCTATTCTCATGAGGACTTTTTTTTTGTCAGTCGTGGAGCCTGAATTCTGGGCCTGGGCGCTGTCCCTCAGCTCTTCAGCTCATCTACTACTTGAGCCACAGGGCCATTTGCACTTTTTCTGCTTATGTGGTGCTGAGGAATCGAACCCAGGGCCTCATGCATGCAAGGCAAGCACTCTACCATTGAGCAACCTTCTCAGTCCCTTATAAGGGGCATATTTTGACTTCTCCAATTTGTCTGAGTATTTTTGGAAAATACCAAGACCTTTACTTCTAAATGTTATTGTTGGGCTGGGGATGTAGCTCAGTGGCAAAGCAGTTGCCTAGCAAGTGCAATGTCCTGGGTTTGATCCTCAGTATCAAAAAAGAAAAGACTAAATGTTATTGTCCACTAAAGAGAATTTGTTTGAAAACAGTGAGTTCCACACATGAGACAAGAAAATGCATGATAAGCCAAAAGAAAAGTTCCCACAAGATAATAAGGAAATGTAAAACCTATTCACTGTTCACATGTGTAGTAATTTGAATGTAAAAATACTTTTATAACACCTTTCCAAATGGGTTTGTCTAATGATGATCAACCATACCAACTGTCTGTGGTAGTATTTGTTAGGTTTCTCCACTGTGAGATCACTGTTCCCTCCATACTCTACTCTTTAACCTTTCCATACCCTTCACAAAAACATTACACATGAACACCACCTTTAAAGGCTGCACTGGATACTATCAATAAAATATATAATTCTTAACTGGATATTTATCACTTTCCCTTATTTGATATCTATATATATAATATCATTACCGCTTAAAGGGTATGTGTTTTATACTGTGAGTTTTAATCCAATAGTATTATAGATAGATAGATAGATAGATTCATCACACAGCTACAAGTTTCTACACTAAACACATGGAAGGAATAACAATGAAGAAAAAATTTCCAGAGGCAGTTTGAAATGTTTATTTCTTGTACATTTTTAACTATCTTAATTATCTGTGTGCTCTGTATCATTCTGATACATTATCATTTTGTGTAATATAAGTTGAAAAGGAGATAGAAGGAATGGATAACAAGAAAAGATATAACAAAATAAAGCATTTCTCCTCTTTATAAATAACCCAACAAATATGTGATCTTGAGCCATGATTCTTCACAATGTTTTTCTTCTCTTGAAGTCTAAAATAAGAAAAAGTGAAGAATGATGAGGAGAAGCATCCATATTACATAAAGGAAACCCTTCTCAGATCTCAGTGCGAAACTTCAATGTAGACTCCTTCATTTGCTGCTCATAGTGTGCATCAAATCTCTCATTCATGGCTACTGTAAAGTGGTTTTTCCAGTCTCCTGAAATTCCTGTAATATAGAGAGAGGATAAGCAATGTAAAGGCTTCTTTCAAAGCCAGAATCATGAGATTTCCTGTTTTTATTTTTGTTTTTGTTTTTACTATATATTACTTTCACTAAAAACTCATCATTGTTTTTCTTGCCATCCTCAATTTTATCAATGAAGCATACATTTTGTATTAGTTGAAGTTAGAAAGATGAATATATTGAGTTATTTTTACATCAATAATGTATTTTATTCACTGAGGTTCCTTAGGATATTGTACTAGATTTTTAATTCCCCTTCAAATATTGAGGTTCCCAATATTTAAAAAAAAATTTAAGTGGATGACTTCCTTCCATAAGAGGAATATTGGATGTGTGATGAAAGGAAAAAGGGAGACCATGTTCTACCTAGTCCTGACTTATTGAGCATCACTTTCTTGCTGACAGCACACTCAAACCACACATATCCTTGATGGGCAATAACTTCCATGAAACCGTCATATGAGTGCTGCCCAAGTATTCCAAATTCTATTTGTTCAAAATGAAATTTATTTTCTTCCCTATCAATTTTGTTTACTATATGTATTTTCATACCTAAGCCAGGTGGACATATGCTTTGATGTTACGGCCTCAGCCATAGCATCTAATTCATTGTTTATAGTCAGGTTTTTTTTATCCTTTGGTTCCTTTCCATCTATTCTGCAACTACCAGACAGAAGAACTGCTCAGAGATTTCTTCTTGGGTTCTTTTTTTTTGGGGGGGGTTCCGGTCATGGGGCCTGAACTCTGGGCCTGGGCGCTGGCCCTCAGCCCTTCAGCTCAAGGCTAGCGCTCTACCACTTGAGCCAAAGCACCACTTCCAGCTTTTTTCTTTTTGCTTATGTGGTGCTGAGGAATCGAACCCAGGGCCTCTGGCATGCAAGGCATGCGCTCTACCACTGAGCCACCTTCCTAGCCCTCTTCTTGGGTTCTTATCTCAGGAAATCAGGCTTTATTTTACCTTCTATCATACATGGAAGGAAGTCATCACCTTTTAAAATGAATCAATAGTTCACTTGGCTTTAATTAAGAGACCTCAACACTCTCACAGTAAGAAACCCAAGCAGCAGAAGATAGCAGATGTGCACTGAAAATTAGGTAGAGGATATAGCAGTTTATCAGCTCTTTACTCTCATGATGAATATTGAGTATTATAAAAAGAGACAGAGCAAATAAAACGTAATCTTATAGCCTAGCCTCGATGGCTACTGCCTAAAATCATAACTACTCAGTAAACTGCAATATGCGACTCATAAGTTGAAACCAGCAAAATCAGGTAAAGCTGAGACACTAATCTTCAAATAATCAGCAATATGTGGCAGTGGCTGTGTGGCCCAAATGATAACGCATTAACTCTGAAGAAAAAAAACAAAACAGCCTTCCAAGAGTGAGAAGCCCAGCTAGATGCTGTTTGCAATAGGCTAGCAGGAGGTTGAAATCTGAGGATAGCAGTTTGAAGCTGGCCCAGCGTAAGTCCGTGAGACTCATACCTCCCAGAAGCCTGCCAAATACCAAAAGTCCAGGTATGGCTCAAATGGTAGAGCACCAACTTTAAGCAAAAGAAGCTAATAGAGAGTGCCAAGACCCAGAGTTCAAGCACCACAGTACTGGCACCAAATTTAATTTTTAAAGTGAAACTCAGTTGAAATCCAGTATTTGCAAATATAAATGTATATATATATCATATTTATAATTATATTTATAAATGCAATATACATAAGTGTATATAGAATTGTAAATATATATTTTTATGACTCATCATGAAAAGGCTCCCTGCTTTAGCCCATTGACAAGATTCATATATGTGTTGTTGAAAAAGACTTCCTGACCTTCTCACTGATCCTTTGGTTGAAAGAGTAAGGTGTACACTTCCTCATACTTTAGTAAGAGGGTGTCCCAATACCCTGCATAACTTGCATAATTCAGAATGTAAACTGACCTCATCTCATCAGGTCATACATCTGAGATCATTATCTCATTCTATGCTGATATTTTTGCCAAGAAGAGCTGTATCAAATTGCTATTTTTGTCATCAGTCTTAAAAAGTTTCTATCACTTGTAGTTATTCTATTTCTTCATCTCAAAAATGTGATCATGCCCAACCCCTTTTCAAGCTTGAAACTTAAGAGGATAAAGTTTATGGTACAGGGTTGATACACATAAGCAGGATACACAGCAAGCAGGATGTGGTGTCATTGTTAGGCTAAGTTTGAGGTGTCCATAGGTTATTTGTAATATAATAAGCTGCAAATCTGAAGAACCAACAAGTAATAACAAGATAGTAGTCATGATAGAAGAAAGAGAAAAAGGAGGAGGAAGAGTAGTGGTGTTTTTGCCTCTGCAGCACTGACGTTAACAAAGTGTTCAAAGTTGGAAAACTGCTAAAGAAAACTTAAATGAGAATAGAGGTTCATGCCTGTAGCCCCAGCTACCTGGTAGATAGAGGCAAAAGGATCAGAGTTCCAGACAAGGTTAGGAAGACCTTTTTCACAAAGTAAAGGCATTAACTATAATTCAAGGGATAGAGTACCTGCTTAGAAAGACCCTGGCATACATTCTCAGTCTGCCAAAGAAAAACAGAAATATGAAGACAGTAGGATGGAGGGAGGGAGGGAGAGAGGGGAGGGAGGGAGAGAGAGAGAGGGAGGGAGAGAGAGAAAGAAAGAGAGAGAGAAAGTGAGAAAAAGGAAGGAAGGAAAGAAGAAAGGAAGAAAAGATGGAAGGAAGGAAGGAAAGAAGGAAAGAAGAAAGGAAGAAAGGTTGGAAGGAAGGAAATAAGGAAGGAAGGAAGGAAAGAAGGGAAAAGAAAGAAGGGAAAGGAAAGAAGGGAAAGGAAAAAGAAAGGAAGGGGAATATATATAATGGATCCACAGTAAAAATGATCAGATAGAGTTTGAGGATGCAGCTATTAGTAGCCCTTTGCAAGCATGACAGTTATTAAGTACTGCATACAGTGCACATAGAAATTTTGCTATAGATTTTTGTCCATAACCATGACAATTTATCATTTCTACAGCAACTGCAAACAAACACCATGGCTTTCGCACCCTTTCTCATGAATGGTGACACTGTTTGGTTCATCATGTCTTCTGGTAACATTGTATAATTGGTAGCTGGATTGTTCTTCATCTCCTGGAATGAAGTATGTTTTATAATCTTGTCCACAAGTTCCTCTGATGGCTTTCTCCCCAGGAACTTCATCAACTTCATGACTTCTTTCCTGATATCCTAGAGACAGAAAAATGTGTTGAAGACTAAATGTGTAAAATTGCTAGACTTCAATACGTTGCTATCTGGATAAAAGATATTGAGAGAAAAATATATTTTTCTTATTCTTGACTCATTGCAATTAGAGGTCTAATGAAAACAATCACTTTTGGGGGAAGTAATTAAAACATAATTTTTCTCATCTATAAAATGGATACAAAAGATACTTCAAAGATGGCAAAGAGAAATAAATGAAATGCCTTTTGTAAGATGTTCACTCTAGTTCTTTATGTGTAGTATATGCTCAATTAATGTTACCAATCACTATAATTATATTTTCTCCAAGATTAGTGTCCTATGAAAGATCAAATATGGGGAATAAAAATATGCAGCTTTTTTTCCCTTATTCTATTGTGAGGAATAATGACTGAAAACCAAGTGAAAGGTTATGAAACAAGATTTTTAAAAAATCCAATACTCAAGTTGTAAAAATCAGATATATATTCAGGACAGCTACAAATATTACAAGCTCCCTACAACTCGTACATTGTATTCTAATGTTTAGCAACATCTCTTAATGCAATTATTTGCAACTACAATATTTCTCTTGCATTCAGTTTTCTCTATGGAGATTGCTCTTTCCAATTCTCTGCCCCATTAATTATGTCTTGTATTTTAAATTTCACTTTGTCTAACACTTCCCTTCAGATAATTTGACTACCTCAGTTTTGATTTAATGACCCAGTATTTGCTCTGACGAATTCTCAAACCTATTGTCTCACATTTTTTAAAAATTCACTTTACTTCACTTAAAATGTCATGTGTATACATGGATTGTTAATATGTCTTATACTTTCTGTTTGGTACATTGTCTGCACAAGAAAAAGTAACTTATTCAGTCTTAGGCTTCTCATTAATCCAGATATAGTGGAAACAGTAACATGGATATGAGTGATCAAAATAGGGAATGAATAGAATTAGACAACTTGGGGCATACATTAAAAGATTTTGAATTTTATTTCTTTATGTTCACTACATGCTAAGTGTAGCATTTAGTGATGGGTAATTCTTCTTATACTGTGTGTGTATGTGTGTGTGTGTGTGTGTGTGTGTGTGTGTGTGTGTGTTGCTGTTTTTGTTGCTTCAGGAACTTTAACTTTTTTGAAATTTTATTTTGAAATTGTTCTTGAGATGAGTTAAATTTTTATTCAACCAGAATATTCTTGTTTTTTGGATTTAAATTTATGCTAACATAGCTGGATTATCATGATCTTTTCTTTCTGATACCTTGGGAAGCTGTGTCCTTTACTTGTTTAAAGACAGCTTGTTTTTGTATCCACGGTATTGTCAAATACTAACATCTTTGAAATTACTATATTGTTAGATTACTAAGTTTCTTTTGAGTGCCTTCTCACCTCTTTCATGTCTTCATAGAAAACAAATAGCATCTGTGGGTTGTTTCTCTTCTCCCACCATGCTTTTACATGATCATACCAGGAGCCATATGGAACTAAAATTAGAAGGGGGAAAATGGAATGGAAACCATACTGTCATTGCTATACAATTTGAGAACAAGTATTCAAACAAAAGCAACAAAAAGATAAATAAGAAGTGGTCATTAAATTAGAACTACAAGATCAATTGCATATATTAAGGAAAATTCTCTGCAGCAAGGGGCAAAATTATGAATAAACCACATGTAGAAAGACAATTCAACTTTAATATTACATGTTTCCAATGTTGAGAAAAGGGAGGTGATCTCCCCCTTGCAACAATTTGATTCAGAACTGTGAGAACATTTTTTGTGTGTGTGTGTGTGAAAATACTGTACAGAGGGGTTACAATTACATGGGCAAGATAATGAGTACATTTCTTATCAAGCATTATAACCTCCTCCTTTGTTTCCCCTTCCCATACCTTCCCAGTCTCCCCTACCCAACCCTCCCCGCCCCCCCCACCAAAGTTGTAAAGTTCATTTTCTACATAACAACTTGTACATCTCATTGTTGCAATGGGTCCACCTGTATCCCTATTTATTTTTTTTAATTTTAATTTATTTTTTATTGTGAAAATACTGTACAGAGGGGTTAAAATTACATGGGCAAGATAATGAGTACA